CTGAGGCTGTTCAGCTCCTGAAGACACTGAAGAAGACGACTTTAGTGGTTTTAGTGCAGGAGGAAGATGAAGATAGCCATCAGTGACTTTTCCTGGTAGCTGCTGGAGTTTTATTTCCTTAACCAGCCGTGTTACAGGAAGTGTTCAGAAAAAAGCCTCTACGGTACGTATCTGTGGATGTTACCGCTACACATTTAATTAAAGGTTAAAACATCTTTCTGTGTAAATATCTCATGTTCCAACGTGGACACCTGCAGCTTAGAGACACCTGCAGCCTGGATATGAACACACCTGGTTTCCTGTTTAGAGTCAGTGGGTGGGGCTTATATTCAGGTGCGCTCATAGTCCAGAATTTACGGTAAAGCATCGACTTATTTCAGACTAACAGCTGAACGTCGATCTGAGGCTCTTTAGTTTCCTCCTCGTTGACTTCACTCTGACTAATCGGCTCTAATTAGCTTCACTGATTAAAGCGTCAGGCCCGACAGCGGCAGGTCTCAGAGGAGGAACCGTGAACCAGACGGGGTCTTACGGGGGTTTCCGTCCTCGTCCAGCTCGTCCATGTCCTCGGCCTGCGTGATCCAGTCCATGTAGCCGCACAGGTCCTCCTCCATCTGCTGCTTCTCTCGCAGCTTCTGGAAGTCTCCCCGAGCCTTCGCCTTCTCCCTCTCCTTGCTGAACTCTCTGCAACGTTCACACAACGTCCACACAACGTTTAGGAGTTGCCGAGGCCGAAACCAGCAATTTTAAAAACACGAGTCAAAGGAAAGTCAGAAGAGAAGAACCGGAGCAGCTGATCAAAGAGCTTCTGATGATTGTTTTATGAACACATGAAGTCCAGCATCAGAGGATTTATTCACTTTGCTGCAGCAGGAACCCTCTGAAACGGACTTCAGTCTGGTTCTGCCGCCTGTGGCTCATTTAAATCCCTCTTTTCTTTCATTTCTTGCTGTTTCTGTTGCTGTCGCTGCTCTTTTCTTTCATTTTTTAAAATCATTTTTGGTCACGTTTTGTCTCCTAAATGCCTCAAAGTTCTGAAAATCAAATAATAACAATAATTAAAATAAAATGTACAAAAAAAACCGTCCAAACGGATCCAAAAATTAGACAAAATGACTCACAATTTATTTAAAATGAGTGAAAATGGTCATAAAAGACTCATCGTTTGTTTTAGTTCTAGTTTTCTGTCTGTTGGTGAATCTTCTGCTGCTTTCTTTCATTCTCCATCATCGTCTGTCACGACTTTCTGTCGTTTTCGGGACTCTGTTCTTACATTTTTGGCCATTTTCTGTTGCTGTTTCTTTAGTTTTCTGTTATTTCTATTCACTGTTTTCTGTCGTTTTCACTTCCTGTTTTCTGTTTTACAGTTTTTCAGCTGCAGTTTCTTTAGTTTTCTGTTATTTGTGTTTCGGCCCGTTTCCCAGCTGATGCTACGTTTTCCTACGTGACGGTGAGCATGTGAACGTCTCGGCGTGGTGGCGACCTGAAGGAGGTCCAGCCGCCTTCTGTCAGACTCCAGGTCTGATGGAAATGAATCACGGTGGGACGATTCTTTCATTTATTTCTATTCATGTGTGGATATTTATTCATTGATCTTTTATTTAATTACTACCGTGAACCTTGATGAGTTCAGTGATTAAATAAACTTTTTTTTCTGTCATGAAACTAATTCCTGATACAAACTGAAGGTCAACGTTTTCTGGTGATAAATCTTTCAGTCCTGATTTAATGTCTTATACCATCAATCAACAAATGAAGCACAGATGAAGATGTTTCAGTGCGTTAACGAGCTTCTTTTAGCTACTGGGGACAGTCTAGAGGCAACGGACCCGCTCAGAACTCCCAGAACCAGGTTGAGAACGAAGAAGGATCCGAAGATGACCAGGCTGACGAAGTAGACCCAGGGCAGCTCGAAGCCGATGGCGTCGTTCATCTGCACACGGACACAAAGTTAGCCGGCAGCCGGTTCTGTGTGACGCCTGGCACCGCGGCCCGGCGGACTCTTACCCAGTACAGGACGTCGGTCCAGCCCTCCATGGTGATGCACTGGAACACCGTCAGCATGGCGAAGAAGAAGTTGTCGAAGTTGGTGATGCCGCCGTTGGGTCCGTCCCAGCGGCCGCGACACTCCGACCCGTTGATGACGCACTGCCGGCCGTGGCCCGCGAACGCACACGGAACCGGGTCGTCCTCCACGTAGTTGTCTGGAGGGAAAAGTTTCAGAAGGTTTGATCAGACCAGCAGCTTCTAATCAACACTCTGGCCTCTGAATGCTGGAACCTGCCGGCGGCTGGGAAGGCTTCAGGTACTGACAGGAACATCCAGCTCTCAGGTTCTGGTGTGGTACTGCTCAGAGCTTCACTATCTGGGTTTGGACATTTTGGTGAACGTCCTGTTTTAGATACGTTGCTAATATCCATCGTGTTTCTCAGGATGTTAATATCCAGGTTTTCTAAAGCTTCAGTACGACATCATTCAGGTGTTTTATCTTGATGTTAGTCAACATCCAGAAACATCTAGAAACATCCAGAAACATCTAGAAACATCTAGACACATCCAGGCTTTTTTTTTGACATTTCGGTGGTTTAATATTCAATCTCATGGTACTTTGGTATTCTGAGGTCCAGGTTTTTAACGTTTTGGTGCATTAATATCATTTTTTATGACTTTCTTCAGAGTCAGAAGTTTCCATCCATCTCCTCAGTATCTGCTGGCGTTGCCTTTAAACTCTATGACTTGGGTCAAACGTTCTGGGTACGTTCTCTCTCTCATTATTCTGGTGTTTAGCAGGTGATCCTGACTGAGCTGAAACAGGAAACGTTTAGTCTGATTTAATGTCAGACGGTGAGAAATAAAAGGTTTTGTGTCTTTTTATAGAGTGGATGTAAACTCCTGGTTTCAGCTGTATGTATATATATGTATATATATATATATATACACATATATATATATATATATATATATATATGTGTATATATATGGACCATCCAGCATCATGAGGTGCTTTAACGCCACTCATTTCTCAACGTTTGAATGTTTTGAACAGGAATGAGGAATTTCAAACTGACTTCATCTTTTTAAATCTGAGCCACTGGGATTCTGTGAGAGGTCAGAAACTAATCCAGCATCACATTCAACCTCTAAACGAACGCTTCTGTTCAGGAGTGTGAGTGAACATCTGTAGTCGAAGAAGTTCCCTAAATTAAAATGTTCATGGACACCAACAATAATCATATTTTATCATTAAAGGCATCGTTGTGGTTGAAGAGCTTCTCCATGCTGGTCTGTTAACCGTCACAGAACCATGAGGGATGATGTTAGATCAGCTGTGGTGTGACCTGACATCAGGTCCACTGCTAAGCGCTGTGCATTTGGGTCATTTTCCTGATGGAGCTACACATCCAGGAGTTGTCTGACTGATAACTGATGCCTTTCCAAGCTGCCGGCGCCAGGTCACTGATGACCGGCTGGTTCTGCTGTGTCCTACCACTCCCGGTGTAGTAGCAGGTCCTGTGCATGCGTCCGATGAAGAGCTCGAGGCCGATGATGGCGTAGATGATGATGACGAACAGGACCAGCAGAGCGATGTGCAGCAGGGGAACCATGGCCTTCATGATGGAGTTCAACACAATCTGCAGACCTGACAGACACACAGCGTGAGTACAGGCGCACCGTCAACACGCCCTCCAGCGCCGCCAGTCCCCCGCACTCACTGGGAACTCCCGACACCAGTCTGAGCGGCCGCAGCACTCTGAAGGCTCGCAGGGCCTTGACGTCCAGGCCTCCAGGCTTTCCAGGAACGTGGTGGGAGGTCGCCTGCTCGCCGCTCGACTTGTGGGTCATCTGCTCCAGGACGACGCTGAACAGCCTGAAAACACACGACGACACCAGAAGAAGAACGTTCAGGATCCAGTACGTTATAATTCAGGTGTTTGATCATTCTGTGTTAACATCCAGGTTTCTGAGGTCAGAGCATTTCTGCTGCTGTGGTGCACCAACATCTGGTCTGCTAGTATCTGTTAGCATCTGTTAGCATATGCTAGTATCTGTTAGTATCTGTTAGCATCTGATAGCATCTGCTAGTATCTGTTAGTATCTGTTAGCATTTGTTAGCATCTGTTAGCATCTGCTAGTATCTGCTAGTATCTGTTAGTATCTGTTAGTATCTGTTAGCATCTGTTAGCATCTGTTAGTATCTGTTAGCATCTGTTAGCATCTGTTAGTATCTGTTAGTATCTGTTAGCATCCAGGTCATTCTGCTGCACTAACATTCAGGTGTTTGATACTTTGGGACGCTCACATGCAGGTTTTAACATTTTGTGTGTTAATATCTAGGTTTTGACTTCTCTGTGCTTCAATGTCCATATTATGGATATTTAGATTTGGTATTATTATGATGATGGTTTCTCACATTTTAACAAACAGGTTTTGGACATTTCTGTGCACTATTTCCAGATTTCTGAGGTGCTGCTGTGTTAATATTCAGGCTGTTGATACTCTGAGATGCTAACATCTTGATTTGTAACGTTCTGGTGCATCAATGTTCAGGTTCTTGATGTTTTATTGCATCAATATTCATATTTTGGCTGCTTCAGTTTGCTAACATCTGGCCTTCCCACATTTTAGTTTGGTATTATCTAGATTTTTGACATTCTGTTGCATTAATAGCCACGTTTTTTCTTACATTTTTGTGCATTATTATTATTCACGTTTTTGACATTTTGGTCCATTAATATTCCAGTTTTCATCTCTTCCTGTGTTGTTTTCCAGGTTTCTGATGTTTGGGTCTGTTCGTATTTATTTTATATTTAACCTGCGGTATGATGATAGTCTGGTTTGGTTTCTGATGTGAATCAACAATCTGACAGAACTTTCCTCGTTCTGCTCTCCAACACTCCTGCAAACCTGCAGCTCAACACTGATCCAACTCTGAACTCCTGAAACTGTCCCACATACAGCATCCTTCGTGACTGTTAAGTGGAGCAGGGCGTCCTCAGGCGGCGTTACCATGACAACAGACTTTATCATCATCGCCGCCGGAGGACGCCGAGTCCCGTCACCGTCCTGCAGCGAGGACGCGACCAGCACAGAGTGACCTGCAGTGACCTCAGCAAACGGGTCGAGACACGCAGAATTAAATCACAGTTTGTTTCTTTATTTCCTCGGTTCTCTCGCTCACAGCTCCTCCTGCTTCTGCTTCGTCTCACGTCGACACAAACCCGAGTCCGAACTCACAGCTCTCGTGTCTTCAGGTCATTTCCTGGAAACTTCCTCGTCTGCTCCTACAGATCAGCAGCTGTGAGCTGGAGGACGTCGTCCAATCAGCATTCCTGAGTGTCGTGTTGTCACGAAGAGGAAACAACCAGAGCTCTGAAGTCTGCAGGTAGCACCACCAAAAAGGAGCATCCACACCTTTAAAACATCTAAATGGACTCAGTGTGGATTCACTGTCGTCTCTGAGGAGCCAGAACATCTCGACTGAACCGGGCAGAACAAAACCTAAAACACGTCTTACAGGTCAGACACCTGTGAGTCAAAGCAGAGGGAACATCAGCACAACAGCAGCAGGTGATCCGTGATGTAACGCAGCCTGCAGGTGGAACAGAACTCAGAACCTGAACCGACCCGGCGCCACAGCGTTTCATGGTGTTTGTGGACTAATCACAGCTGAACCTATGAACACTGTGAAGTGTTTAGAACTGAGTGGAGACAGCAGCTGTGTCCGGTTCTGACCAGAGTCTCAGTCTGAAGCCTCAAACAGGAGCACCAACCCGGTTCCTCGGGCCGAACACGGCAGAACTCTGGTCCAGATGGTGGATTTACAGCCTCGTTTGTCAGTAGACGTTCGGGTCACAGCGATGCTCGAAGAACCCTCGAACCAGCAGCTGGTTGTCGGGTTCCTCAGGCCGCTCTTCAACTGGACCCGCGAACAGGAGACGGACTCAGGAAACAGAAGTGTTTCATTACCACACCTGCACACACCTGCAGTGAGTCGGGTGGGCGGAGCCTGAACACCGTAGTAAAGGTTCCTCAGCCGACACGCGATGACACGCTAGAAGAAGAGTGGAACACGGACCACATGACGGACACGACACACGTCAGGAACACAGAACAGCAGCAGAACCAGGATCTTAACACAGAACCGGAGTCCATACAGAGAAACAGGCTGTAAAGACAGAACCAGGATCAGAAGACAGAACTAAGGTCTACAGTGAACCTGGATATAAAAAAGGAACCAGGATCCAAAAACAGAGCCACAGTCCACAGAGAGAACCAGGATCTAACAACAGAACCAGGACCTAAGACGGGACCA